GGTAATGATAACATCGTTTACACTAGAATCCCGATGTTTTAGCTTATGTAAAGTAGAGAAAAAACAAATCAACTTTTCAATACCCCTACGACCTTTACAGTACATTCAGAGTTTGAGTACAATATATCAAGCTGTTTTTATTGTAGGCTGGCAAGAAAATAGGAAGAAGAAGAAAAAGAAAAATTACAAACTGGCCATTTTGATCGGATTTTCTTTTCCTTGTAAGTCTAACATGCGTGCTTTTTGCGCATTTTTATATATGTTCAGCCTTAGCAGCCAACAGTAAAGGTTTTAAGGTGTTGTTTGAACTGAATCTTCTATTAAGGTTTTTGTGGAATTTCTGACGTTCCCTATTATGAACCACTATCGTGGTTCATTCTTGTTCTTCCTATTTTTGTGGTTTGTAAAAGTTACTTGTATAGATATATAATTCATCTGCAGAACATGCATAGATAAAAAGTGAGAAAGAGGATTTTAAGATGACTAGACAAACACAGAAAAACAGGTAGATTGATTTTATTTTCAAAAGACATTAACAAGTCTTGAGATAATATTAACAAACTGATGTAAACAAATATTACTTTAAAAAGAAATGTTACCTCATTCTATTTTTTCAATAAAAGTATTGAGCACCATCAATTCATGCAATATTGTACACAATTTAAATTTACGCAAGATTTAATTATCCAATAAACAATATTTGACTTATGAATATACGTACATATTCAATAGTTTGATTGAGTAATATAGCTTTCACTATCATTTTCTGAATTGAAGCAATAGTAAAAACTTAAAACTTTTGCTTCTGATGATTGAGAAATTATACAGTTTGGAAAGAGTAATATTGGTTTTTTTTATTGTTGTTAAGCGCAAAGCTACCCAATGGGCTATTTGTGTCCTACCGTTAAAAACAGTCTTAAAAGCCTAATTTACCGTGCCATGCTTTCATTTTCACAAGACCAAAAAAAAAAAAGGAATAAAAGAAAACTCTATCGATTAATGACATTTTAAGAAACACGTCTATCACATAGATTCAAGTTCTGGTAGTTAAGTAAATACCCACCCTTTTTTCTACGTTACAGTTAATTTATTGTCTATCACTCCTTTTTATGATATTCAACCTTGCCACTATAGTGATAAGTTAGAAGCAATAACACAAATATAATTTTCGGATTTTTATAAAATGCTAATTTGTTTGAAGGTTTTTTGCGTAATTGTAAAAACTAATTTCTTTACCTATAAGCACACGGACAGAAACAGATGCAGAATTCACAGGTGTTTTAAACACCCTATAGTTTTTTTTTTAAGTTATTAATACATATCTGACTTTCAGATGTTTACTGAAAAAAACGAGTAATATTATTTAAGTAATGACGTGCTGCCATCTATTAACTTCTTATGAAATCTATTTTTAAAAGTGAAACTTAAACTGTACACTGAGTGGTCACAAGTAAATAGACACCTAATTTTTCGTCATTTAACAGATTTATGCTA